GATGAATTTTTTTCTTGTTAGAAATGAATTTTATTATTTGATGAAAAATGATTCTGTTGAGGTGTTTTTTTTTTCTTTTTAGTATTTTTCATTATTATCAACCGATAGAATTACAATTACTTCAAATCACTATTGATGAAGATTTTTTCTTAACTTTATTCATATATCTATTAGAATAGTTCGTTGGTTTGGTTAGTTATCAAGGGTAAGTGAATGTAATTTATCAATAAGAATGTCTCTACGGAGTGAAATTCAAAGAAAGATTATTATTGGAATTTGTATGATGCTAAATTGAATAAGATAGAAGCGAGATTCTATTACTCGAAAGAAAAAAAAGAATTTTTAATCTAGAATTTTTATTAGTTGTAGAAGAATAAATGGCTTCTTTTTTCTTAAATAAGTTACTTCTAAATACAACCGAATATAGTATTTCTTTGAGACTTCTGTTCAATAAGGCAAAAGTTATTATTTCGATCTAGAGAAGTTCGACGTTTTAATCATAACAATATATCGACTTGAAATATGATGGTTTATCATATAAGTATAATTAGCATGCAGAAGAATAAGTAACATACAGAATACAAATAAGCTAAAGCGTATGTTAAACAGAAGCATCGATAGATGACTAATAAAGGTTAATGAATACAAAAAAAATCTCTGTGAAAAAAATGTATAGAAGACTAATTTAGATACTATTGATCGAATTACAAAAAACAGTGTAACAATAGTTGAACTGCAGAATTGAAACTCTATAGTCGTACGATAGAACAAATCCTACTGTTGAACGTCATTCGACTTCATATTATGACAAAGAGTAACTTTTGATGAGATTAAGAAAAACTTTAAGAGATTCAGTTTCATGACCTACTTATCGAGAGTTATAGTTGTTTTAATGAACTTTTTATAGAGAGCAAAATATTTTCACAAAACTGAAAATAAAGAGTTTCGAATGAAAATTTTGTTTATAAACATTCTTGTTAGTCATTGGATAATCCAAAAAGTTGCAATGTAAATGTCTTTCTTATAATATTCAATTGCCAAGTAGACTCCATAACTGTATCCTCTTATGAAAAATCGCTGTTTTTTTCAGATAAAAGACGTAAAATAAGTTTTGACCCGTTAATGCAACATGGTTTTCTTATACGTTATTGTACTAATGGAGGCTAATAGGTTTAATGTACACGAAACGTCTAGATTTACTTTATGCTAGAATTTCAGCTTTTTTCTTATTATTATTACAGATATAAAAGTGATATCAAAAGCATAATAAATATTTGAAATCTCTCTGACGTTTTATATTTAATATTACCCGAAAGGAGACTTACAAATAGAATTTATTTTCAACAAATAATTAAAAAAAAATCGTCCATCATATATCTGCTCTCTACCTTCATTTATCACTTGCTTCAGTCAATATTCAATATTTTTCCATTACTGACTCCCATTTTTGCTACTGTAAATATTCTCCATTGTTGTACCATTTGATTTTTTAATACTATTTCTTTGTCCAATTGTTCATCGCTTACTTTTTCGTTCATTAACTAAATATTAACAAATCTCTTATAATCTATGTTGAAATCAGTACGTTTGCCAATGTTTTATTATATAATTTTACTGTATGTTTTGTTATTTTTGCACATTACAATCATCAGATATAAAGAGATCGTATCTTCTTTTTTTCCACTCATAATAGCATGGATAGATAATAGAACAGAAGAATTCGATGTAGAAAAGCAAGCGTTATTTGTAGGGAGTGGATGATTGAGTGACTGCAGTTTTTCTCATCCATGATGATTTCAAAAATGTTTATGAGTTTTATATTACTTGTATCTTTGTAATAGTCATAATGAAAAATCTGCAACTCTAGCATAGAATAAATCTAGGAGTCTTATTTTTTTTTTACATCCGTTTTCGTCAGAATAACATATTCATTGAAGCTGAAAATTTTAAGACTATCACATCTACCGATGGACAATATTTCAGGTAAAAACTTTTTGTTGTAAATTTTTAAGATATGTCTTGTTCACGATAAAAAAATTTTTATTAAAACTACCGTAACTTTTTATAAGTAAGCGATGGGTTCGAATTACATAAAACTTCACTCAGTCTTATCGAGATCTACTCTGAATCATACTATGAAGTGGAATAGGATACAAGAATTGGAAAAAGAGTATAAAATAAGTTTTAACCATATCTTGCAATATTATTTTCTCAGATTCTTTTGTATTAGCCTACATTCATATTCACTATATATACACTGCACGTCTAGATCTAATCAATGTTAGAGTTTCAGCTTTTTTCTTCTTTTTATTATTATTATTACAGAAATACAAGTGATGCTAAAATCATAAACAATTTTTGAGATTATCATGCAAGAGAAAAATTGTAGCCATACAATCATCCACCTACTACGAGTAACATTTGCTTTTCTGCATAGAATTCTTCCGTTCTATAAACACTACCCATACTATTATGATTGGGAAAAAAAAATGATAGTGATCTTCTTATCTCTCGTAATCGTAACGTGTAAAAAAAAAACAAAAAATACGAATAAATTATATAAAACATTGACGAATGTATTGATTCTAAAATAGATTATGTGAAATTTGCTTTTATTAGAAAGTTAAAGAATATTCCTTCTAAACGAAAAATCGTTTCATTTGAAGTAGAAAGGGTTTACCACTCAAAAAGTCAGACAGAAATGCTTTTTAAGAAACAATATCTCCTACAACCAGATCATTCATACCAGAACAAAATCATACAAGAGTTTCTACCCTAATAAGTAAACATCAACAAGACTTAGAGAGATATTAATCATATTAGTTTTTCACTCTACGGGGAAATTCTAGTAGAAATACATTTTTTTTAGAATAAAAAGAAATTATTCAAAAAGAAGTCATCAATCCATTTCTATCTTGATTAGTTGAAGTCAAAAATGAAAAATAGTCTATTGAATTGTGGTTGGTAGATGTATCTTTATATTCTTTCGTTCTATTTCTTCCTGTTGAATGATTTCTTTATGTTAAATGAAATGTACTAAATATATGTTGATATTCTTTTTCGTTCGATAGTCCCCTGCTGAAACATCAATGAATAATCTTTTTGATCATGCGTTTAAAGAAAAGTCTATCTGTAAATTTGCTTTCGAATAATACTTTTGTATGTGATATTAATAAGAAAACCTTCAACAGAATTTCAAATACTTTTTACGCTTTTGATATCCCTTTTATATCTGTAATAATAATAAGTAAACAACTGAAATTCTAGCATAGAGTAAATCTAGACGTTTAATCTATGTACTATGAATATTAGTCTCAAAGACTACAGATATATGTGAGAAAACAATATTGTATTTGTAGGTCAAAACTTATTTAACACTCTCTATATTCTCTTATGACTTTATTTCATAGATACTCGAGGTAATTTAATACCTAGTAAAAGTCCTGGATTAATATTTAATGCTAATAAACATATAAATTAATGCAAACAGATACTGTAATATAACACCTCTCGTCAGAATCAGTCTTTGTTTAATATATCAATGCTTTCAGTAATGTCTTACATCAAATAAAAAAAAAAATCTGAAATTTTATTATAACTAAACAAAGTAAAATAAACCTTTATTAATAAACCTTTTAGGGTATCTATTGCTAATATTCTTGTTACAAGCCTAAGATGTTTTTTTCTATTTTATAAAAATGATATTGATCGCCCGATGATAAATCATAATAATGATGTTTCTCATTTGATAATACATCATAATAATGATATTTATTTATTTTTAATTGTTTATGACACGTAGAATAACATAAACATGTTTTATGATAATATTGTTTACTTATTTCATAAAAACTTAATTTATTGCAATGTGAACATGACGTACAGAAATATAATTATAAGAGAGAAAAAGTCTTCTGACAACTTGATTTATTTGAAAGTTTTTGGTTTTCTATTTCAATTGTCAATGACCTAATTATATGTTTATCGATTATCTACAGATTTCGTCAATGTCATATAGTTCTCTTTATGTTGATATGAATAAAAAATCTTTTTGATTGAGATGTTAGTAAGATAATAAAGATATAGATTGAACATGACTTGAATCTAAGAATTGTTTTCTATTATTTTCTGTTTCTTAAATAGACCTCCCTACAGAGTAGAAGTTTACTACGATGATTAGAATCTTCTCGGAGAAAATAGACACTCACTTTGTATAGAATGAACATAAATCAATGAAAAATGCAAGAATATACATATTTCCATTGTTTAACAGAAAAATTCATATCAACACCAGCTGTCTTTCAAAATTATAGCTTGCGAAACAAAGGCACTCCCCACAGGCTTCTATTGTATGGGCGTAGTTAGTTGAAAAAGAAACTCTTTTTTTTTCTCTTAAAGGAAATCTCTATTTTCTTTTTTGATCAATTTTTTTTTTTCTAATGATAAACTCGTTGAACTATCGTTGGTCTTTATTAATAACTATTCATTGTTATCATCATTTCTTGAATTAGAAATAATAATCTATTATTCGTGATAAAAACAAGATCACAAAAAAGTGCTTACATAGTATTAGACGTTCGATTATAAATAACTTGGTCATTTTCATTATTACTTTTCAAGATTTCATGCATATATTTATCATTTGTTGTAATTTTCAATTTATTTGAATGATAATAAATATTTTAGATTGATTATAATTCATTAAAATATATGAAATATCTTACAATTAATTCATATAATGTCTTTTTCTTTGAGATCAAATGGCATTAGACATTAATCAATGCGACTGATTCATTAAAGCAATAGGTTTTCATCTACATTATTAGGTAAATTGATGTTAGTGAAAAGGAATTAGGAAAAGAACGAAGAAAAAAAAAAAAAACTTCTCGTTCGTTTCTTCTAGGTTCTTTTTTCATATCACATCTCTATTTTCTTTCTGTGCTGGAATAAAAAAAAATAAGCGACAAACACACTGACAGAAGCAATAGACCACAAGATCAATGGATAGTGATACTCTCAATGCAACAAGAGGACTGGTACAAGCTATTTTAACATTAACAACTGAACAACGTCAGGCGCTTAGTGTACAATCTTTATGTCAATTTGTTTATTGTAAATTTTTAATGAATGATCAAGAAGACAATAATGGAACATGTCAAGTCATAGCGGTAAAATCATCTTTATCTGATGAAGATCCACAACAAAAAAATTTATATTTGATGACATTTGTAAAATATATCAATATTTATATTTATCCATTACTTATTTTCATGGGTATATTTGGAAATGGTTTATCATGTTTTATTATGTTCCTTAATGTTCGTCGTAATGGATATTCAGCAAATCTTTATTTAGCCTTATTAGCATTTGTCGATTGTTTATTTTTGTTAGGTAGTGCATTACCTGACTGGATGTCTCATATAGACAGTAAATTTGATATAAGACTTTTATCAGATTTATGTTGTCGTTTTGTTTATTGGTTTGGAAATTTTATAACACATTTATCAGCTGGTCTTGTTGTTAGTATTACTGTGGAACGTTTTATTGCAATACAGTATCCATTGATTGCACACAAGATTAATACTGTTAAACATACACATATTGTATTAATTACTTTAATAACATTCTTCTTTTTATTGGATAGTCGAATTTTTATTCTTGTCAAACATTTAAACGACAGTATACATATTGTATTAACTTGTTATAATGATACATATAGTTCATATGAAAGACGAGAGATATTACAATGTAATATAGCAAATGAATCTAATAAAATATGGGTGTTTATTGATTTTGCTGTTTACACTCTGATACCTTTTTCAATTATTATTACATTGAATTCTCTCATTATACGTCGTTTAATTGATGCACAACGTTTAAGACAACGTATGTTTCATCCTAAGAATAAAGCAGCCAAATCTGAAGAACAAAGTTTACATCAAAATATATCTGTCAGTGATCAAATAGTAACTGAAAAGCATCGAAGATTAAAATGTTCTCGATCAGTTCCAACACCAATACTACTACCAACTATAATTCGTTCGCATAAAAGTAAGTCTTGAAATTCTTCGAAAAAAAAAGAACCTAATAAATTCAACTATTTAATTTAATATAGATCAATATTGTTTACGTTCTACTATGAAACAATCAAGTGTATCAATTGAATCATCATCAGAAACTAAAACTCGTTCTGATTATCAATATGAAAAGTCTGTAATACGTCAAACAACAAATACAAATAATATGCGTTTAACGATATTATTACTATTTGTTTCATGTTCATTTTTAATTTTAACTTTACCAGCTGTTGTATGCAATTTAATAATGTCAATAAAATTAAAAACAATATCATCAACATTTACAAATTATTTAAGTACAACTGATGATAATTTGAATTCGGATACAATCTGTTATTATACTATAGCACGTTTATTAATGATTGTAAATCATTCAATAAATTTTATACTTTATTTTGTTGTTGGTAAACGTTTTCGTCGTGATTTAAAAAATCTTTGTATTAATTATTGGAGAAGATAATATGAACAATATTATTAAATAATTTAGTTTCAAACTTTCGAAGAATTATTTTTCTTGATAGAAAAAAAAAAAAAATGAAAACTTCGAAATAAAATAAATTTTAACGTTGTTTTGTTCATTTTAATTGTGATATCAAAAATGAAATGATGTTTGTTCTCGGTTTAGTTTAATAAATGTTCTATAATTTGTTTTTCATAAATGTCAATGAAATCGATCAAATTGAAAATAATTCATATGTAAAACATCTTTTTTCCATTACAAAGTAATCATGTATTGAATTAATTTCTTTTTTGCAATAGAACCGATATTATGATAGAAAGTTTATTAAATTATCGTTCTATAAATAGATTGTCATATTTTTTTTGGGTCATTTTAAGGTTAACCATGTATAAAGGAAGAATGTAGGATGGGCTAAAAATGTCTGCATAATTAAAATTTATTTTTTTGTTTTTTTTTTAATCTTTTAAAGTTTCTTATCATTGTGAATCATAAAGTGGAACTTGTTAATATCATTCCTAGCACTATATTTCTATATCATTGTATATTCTTTAATTAGTACGATAGCGGAAAAATTTCCTGACAGTTGAAGCTTTTGTAATAAGATTGATCTTGTAAAAAAGAAATAATTATCCATTCTAATTTTTATTATAAGATGCTATGCTTCAATGTTATATGGATGGGATATACTGTCACGAATTAATGTATCATGAGAGTGGAAAAATATATGTCGTTAACTTTCTTATTATTTGATTCTTCTTGTTCTCTCAAATGCATCACTTGGTTTCCTTCCTTTCTCCAACTCGTGCTTGTAATCTAACTTATTCTTATTGTGTACTTTTCATTAGTAGTTTTAATTTAGTTCTTCTCGTGATCCTTAGATATCATGAACTATAATGCATTAGAAGAAAGTAAAATATTGATACTTTCTTATATAAGAATTCGTTTATTATATCCTAATTATATTAGAAGAGTTTTAATTGTTGATTCAACTATGTACAAAAAACAAATATCTACATGTGTCATTATAACTTTGTAGTTAATCAATTAGAATCATATATAGGATTTTTCTTAGTTTGTTTTTTTCTCTGACATCTGGTTTGCGAAATGTCTACTGCAATCTGAAAAAATCTGTGATAACAAATATGACTATTGTTTTTTAAAGTTAGCTTTCGGCTAAGTATTTTCACCTAATATGAAAAGAAAATAGCTATTCTACATTTTCTGATTATTGCTGCTGACTGTATGATTTTTTTGGCACAACGACTGCCTACTGTAATTGTCAAGTCTTTAATATATAATTATTTAGACATATACCATACGCATTTGAAAGTTATCACATTTTTTTTTGTTTATTTTAATAACTTAAGAAAATAAAAGGGCAAGATAGCTTTTACTTCTATTTATATAGATAAAAATAATAGCTATTGTAAGATTTTATATAAAAAAAATATGAGACCTTTACATGCATTAATAATCCATATATCATCATAATCTTCGGCATAAAAGCTATGCCTTGAATTCAATACAAGATATTTGTATAGTTTTAAAAAATTCAATTAGCAGAAGATTCAATCTTCGGAAAATCCGCTTGGTATCTTTTTATATTAAACCTGTATGATGCATTTCCAATCAACAGTTATGTCTTTCTTTTTCGTCAGAATCATGTATTTATAGACTGATGATGATGATATTTTGTTATTTAAATAATAAGCAACTGAAGTACTAAAATTGATTGCTGAATAACAGTTATTTAATTGCATTATTAGTGTACTTGATGGACGTTTTTATAATCTTTGTTCATACTGAAAATGTGTGGAATCATTAAGAAAAAATTATAATAGATGACTAATATCTTTGTTTATAAATAGAAGTTTACCTTGATAAAATGAGATTATTTATAATTTATGATTCAGTAGTAAAGATTACTTGATTATATACTATATCAAATAATTCCCATAAACAAAAAAAAAAAGATTCTTTGAAATTGAGTTTTATTAGCAAGAATGAAAGTATACGGACCATTATCCATGAGAAAACATCGAAAATTAATGGAATTTGAAGGCAATCGTATTTTTCCGCTGATTTCCAAACAATTTCTTGTTTCTTTCGGCTAGAAGTCATCGAACAAATGCTAGTCAAAATATTTCATTCAGTTCTATCGATTTCTGAAATATTCCTGTAGAATACGTCCATTTGCCCGGTTCATTTTTCGAAATATACCCAATATGTGTATAGAGTAAATTGCTACATACAGCGAATAGGGATACATAAGAGATATTTGTAATGATACATTTACTTTTAATAAACCTTTAGCTACTGATTAATTGTTCATATTTCTAAGTGAGTAGATATTCAACTTCAAGTACTACTTAATAAATATTCATAGCTATTTAAATATGACTTACCTAATTATTTATTAAAATTGTTTTTTTTTTAACAAGGAAGGAAAACATTCGATATAAGTGAATGAACAAGACAAGAGAATATCATGGTATTATCTTTCTAGTTGAATTGAAAACTGCTGAAATTAAATATTGATTATTTAAATTGCGTCGGAAGAAGATAAACTCAGTGATGCTTCTAAAATGACGTCGTAATTAGAATTGAATAATATCAGATAAGAATACGAAAAGAACAGAAAAATAAATAACTAATGCATATTTCTGTCCATCAACGTAAAAAGAACCAATAAGCCAGTGACACATATTCAAGTATGAAGTAGTAAAATTTTTAAGGCAGAGATTAGACTGCAACATAACGAAATGTAGGTGTAGGATGCAGGTATACATTCGTATGTAGATAACGATCGTTCTTTCACTCATAACAACTCACATTTCATATCCATAGCCTCTTTACTCATGACTTGATTCACATATCCCTGACCAGACATGTGGTTGATTTCAAAAAAAGTTAAATACACTGAATACATCATCACCACCTTGATAATTGTGTTTTGTTGATAAAAAGAACTTTGATAAGTTGCTTCTAATCCTTGTCATATTGTTCTACTCCTTGAACTTAAATCATAGAGGAAAAACAATTAAATAAAATGATTGTATTTGTTATTTGGTTCTGTCGAATAGTTTAATAACTGTAAATGTTTTGCCAGATTTTGCTTTGGCTTGATTAGATCTTTTTTGAAAGGTTAATTGCATTTTTTTTGTATATTCTGATGTAATACAACAAAATACAAATGAATTTTTGAACCTTGTTGAAGTAGCCTATCACATATACGTATATTTGTTATTGAATGATCTATACTATCTTTCTAAATATCAGTCGGATCATCATTCAATTCTGTTCGATGTTCAGGCACATGACGATTAAAATAATAAAGCATGAATTTGGTTTGCTCCAATTTTTTCTAATGTAAACATTGAACAAGTATACCTATCGTAACTTTCCCGAAAATCATCATCATTGATTGCTGTAAGATTATCAAGAAATTTAGTTATTTCTGGTTCAATTTTTGTAAATCTTTTGTGTCATAGTGAGGATGATCACGAATATCACAAACGTTGACAATATCAAATCTTATTTCAACTACCAAACTCGGATATATCTCTTAAATCTGCCTATCTATTCTAGTAATAGTAGCTGTCATTTATTTTTTTTTTGTTTTTTGAAAATCAAGCTCGACATAATATGAGTACTATCCAAGTAATTAGAAAAAAATAACGACAGGCATATTCGTTGGTGAGTTCCAACTGAAACTTACTGGCTTCGAAAAATTTGGAACCAAGAATTGAACGAAAATCATAAAAAACACTTCGGGATCATTAAATCATCAGATAGATACATAGACTCTTAAATTCATATTCAAAAACCTTTTTTTTTCATTCTTGAGATTAAAGACTTCAATCTATGTACATAATATTGTCGTATTAAAGTACTGAAATGAAAATAGATTTAAATTTTTCATCGCTATTTGATAATTTTAACAGTTTCGATTCCACGCAATATTTTCGGAACGAAAGTCAAAATTCTATTGTTGGTTCTGATTGGTTTTTGGAACCGCAGAACTCTAATTACCACTTTTTACTAAAACTTGTTCACGTTCTCTGATCAAATCTTTGATGGCATCGACAAATATGTTATTTATTTTAATATCTTTGAATAAATGATTGACAGAACTTGCATCATTCGTCGAAGTATTCGTCTTCACTTGGTCTTGTATTAATAATTTCTACTAAAGTGCAGTAACTTGCATTTCTGTCTCAGATAAGTTAAGTAGAGGATGTGTAGGTACCTAACGTGTCGCACAATCAATATAAAGGTTGTATCAGAACTCGAGATTCGTTCGATGCACATCGTCAGCATGTTGTTGAGCAAACGATAAATGTCTACCACACCTGTCTTAACGTCTTGTCAGTAAAAATCTGTTCCATTCACTAAGAATCAAGCAATTCACTAATAGATCGTATAGCTGCTTCAACGATATATGTATCTTTAGTCTCATCATCACGCTCAAATTATAATAATTTTAATAAATTATAAACAATAACTGTTTTTTAACTTTGTTCAATCTTTTTAATTAGCTCACTATCACAATTGAATACAATAACATTGGATTTTTTGAAATACATCAATAAGAACAATGATCGATTCATAAAGACAATCATCCAAAATGCCAAGTATTGAGCCAGTCACATCAAGTAAAAAAACAAAGAGTATAATCTCATTTTCCACGTGTTAGTTTGGTGCTGAATTCTTTTTTATTTCAACTCAATTCAATTGTCCTTATTTGCATTGAGTCACGTAAATAAGGTGTTGAATCACGTGAAACTGTGCGACATTGGATACATTTATTTAATGATAAAATGACTTGACAGAGTGAATTTGTTAAATCATTGATCATTTGGGAAAAGAGTTTTCTTCACTGTTTCGTAGTTTATCAAGATCGTTTATTTCACCATTTGATTTAAGTGATGTGTAATGTTGACAAAAATATTCGATTGTTTGTGCAATCGTTATATATCCATGAGTACGGCAAACACCCCCTTCATCAAATGTCGATGCTTTAAAAATCTATTAATTAGTTCTTGTCTGAATATTGCATTTATGTTTTTGAGAATATTTTCGATTACATTTTCCATAGAGTTCTTTAACGGTAAATTTCACTTCTAATTTATATAACCAATAATGCTCGTCGTTACAATTCGCTTGATGCTCGACTGAATGTTCATTTCTTTCTATATAATGTACTTCTATACAAGCCTAATCGATACTAATATCAAATGTATACACAAGGATGGGTATGAATGTGGATATTTATATGCGTGCCAGTACCAATGTGCGTGTTTGTTTGGGTCTTTTCTACACCGATTCAGTCAATCACACCTACACCCTTAGTGAAAATGACAAGAAAATCGTTCGAATTGCGATTCCTAAACACTATTTTTGGAGTCAGTGAAGTAATAATAGTTTACCAGTTAACAGATATAATAAGTTTTTTTCTAGAGATTTCTAAGTTGTCCTTAGTTTTCGAAATTATTAATATCTATTAGTTTTGAAAAAGCAATTTCTTTAGAAGAAAACAAAAACACAGAGAAAAAATCAGAAAATTATGGCTGTTATTTGGCTGCATAATGTTGTTGTTGATAAAGTTACACATAAAACGAAACTTCAGCTTTATGTTTTGTTCTTAGTGAGAGCTAAGACATTTTGCTATATTTATTTTACTCATTTTTGGTGTTTATCGCATCTCCAATGGCGATCAGTCAATGCGACTGAAAAAGTTTATTCTTTCCTCTTTATCTACCAGAAGATACTGGAGTCTAGTAGCTCTCGTAAATCTTTTTTCTTTTTTAATTTTCTTCTATCCCTAACCTTAAGACAGATATTAAGTGAAAAACTCCTTTCGAAAGCTAAGGAATTTTATGAAAAATTCCCCATAAAATTTTGTTCAAAGCAAAACATTTTTTTTCTTTGGTACAAGTCATTTTTTTAATAAAAGTACTCTCAAACAAAAATCAATCATTATGTTTATGTCGTACTACGATAGAATACTAATGGAGACACGTCACTAAACAACGGCTGTAAGAATAACCAACTTTTTTCTGCAAAAAACAATTCTTTTAGAAGAAGTCGTCTTTTATGCTAAAAGCGTCGCTTTCAACAGGAGCATGGCTCAAAATCGTACTAATAATGAAATTGCACACTAGATATCTAAATAAACCTTTTCTAAAAAAGGGACTTTTTACTAACGCTAGGCTTTTTAGGATCATTAATCATACTTTAACCATTTTTAACCTATTTTTTTATGCAATAGTGAAAGATACGCATAACTTCTCGCTGTTGCAATCATAGACTGATCTTTCTAACTTAAAATCGTACAACACTTGAATAGTTCCCCAATTATCAGCAAAAGCGTTTTAGTTTCGACTCCTGATAACAAAAATTCAAAAATCTCGATTCAGTTCTCGGTTCTACTTTTTACAGAACTGCCGAGTTCTAATAGCTGCACAAACAAACTTGTACGTATACCAATCCCGAATGACAACCTCATTCACAAATACACGCAATTTGACAGTCACATACACTGCATCGACATTCACAGCATACCCCAAAAAGCACGTCCACACTCACAACAACATCCATAGCTAAATCATACCCTTTGAGCTATATCAACTTTTGTAAGTTTCTACTGGAACAGCACCCCAAGTGTGCCAAATTGGATCAGAACGTATTTTATCAATATTCAAAGACAAAATAGAAAGAAAGTATTATTAGATTCAAATAAGATAAAACATATCAATCAGTGAAAATACACAGAGAGAAAAAGGAAAGTAAGTTCTTAAATTCAAAGTTACAAGAGAAATGTCATTGTAATTCGGTGACTTTGCTCTTACATATGAGCTAAATCGAGGAGGTGAAGCATGTCATTACAGGAACACAATTGAAATGTTCATTTTTCTACTTCGTCATCTATCAAACGGTTGGCTAGGGTTTACAAAATGTCGCCAACTGTCATCATTCATAGGAATATCGATAACACTAACATTATTTTTCTTAACATTTTGTCTGCTATTGCTTCGACGCTGATGATCATAATCTTCACCATCATGACGGTCTACCACTGATTTTATCATATTCATTTCAATTGGATCTTCAGTGAGATACCTATTACTTCGACGCCTAGAACAGATGGAAAAATGCATGAAGAAAAAATGTGGAAAAGATATTTCGAAAGAAAATTTGCGAAAAAAAACCTAAAATCCAGTAAAGAATTAATCTCGAATGCCAAAATTACGTGAAGTGAGAATTCATAAACAAAAACCTCAAAATCATAACATATAAAAGCAATCTGAATAGTTGATAGATACGAGGCTTATTAATCATAAATTTGCTGAAGACTGAAAAAAAGTTAGGAATTTAGTGTATACATCTTCACCGTCGACTATAGTACGGTGTGCGTGTGTATGTGAACCTGCTCTTCAGCCACACTCCAGTATCCAAAGTCCAATGAAAGAAGATGATTTTCAACAGTAATTCAGTGTGATGGGTTGCTTTTAAGAAATTTCGAGATTTTTCAATATTCCAGATTTTGCCCTTTGATCTTATTCCTTTTGAGTAATTAGCACTCCCTCATACCGACGTCTATTTGCTGCACGATGATTTTGATCCCAATTTTTTGTTTCCCTTATTGTTCGAGTATTCGTTCTAGGTATTGCAGTTGGCTTCAGTTCATTTTTTGTTTCTCGTGATGGCGACAATGTTCGCTCTAAATGGACGACGATTTGTGGTAAAATATTGGCACTTTCAAAAACAACTAATTCATCATAGCGTGCATCATCTATACGCTTCGGTGGACGATAATCCGTTGTAAATTCTTTATCAGTAACAGGAGAAACTGGAATATAATGACATTGGTAATTATTATGATTACCACGTCCATAGAACCTGAAGTCTTCTGGTTTCTTATCGTGCCGTGCATCACAAGAAATTACAGGAAATGGATTTAAAACTAATACATAACACATTAATAGACATGGATTTTCTCCTTGACAGTAACGTGATGCATACTGGGCACTTGATGAAAAATACATACCCTTACCAAACCATCCATCATCAAGTACTTCTAACGATGCAAAACCGTCAGCCAACAACTTTGGCAGGACCTTTTTATCACAACCATGCCATACTCGTACAATATTTGCTATTCTATTATGATCTACCTGTTTATATAAACGCTCTAATCGTTTTAGTACTATTTTTCGTTCTGCCATGTCTTTTTCACAATCCCAATTCGGTTGAAATATTTGTTCCTTCATATGCCTTTCAACAAATTCAATTTGTTCACGAAAGTGGTTAAATTTTTTACGATTTTGTATGATTTCGATCTTTTTTATTTTGAAACCATTCTCCAGAGAACCAACCCATTTTTTAACTGAATGAAAAATAGTTGAGTGTAATGGATTCTGTTCAGAGAGTTCACATGAATAAACTTTTGCACCGTTATCATGCTGATTTTTTTTCAAATATTTTTGATCAATAGGTAAATCAAAATCACCTTGAAACTCCTTATCTCGTCTTTTTTGTTTGTGTCTTCGTACAATTAAATAACCAGTTACACCTAAAAGGACTGGAACACTAATTCCTGCCATAACAATACCAACAATTAAACCAATAAGATTTGGTTTTGACGACAATGGTTTTAAACCTATGATAAACAAATACAATAATGATTATAAGCTGAACTCAAATATTGAAGAGAATGCAGAAAACCCAGAAGGTTTCACGGTTGACTATTTAAAACTTGTCTTTGATATTTAAATATTGCTTTCTATGCGCATGTATTTAGTATAAGGAATGCAACTAAGTGGCCTTATCGAGATTTGATATCTAGGTTTTTCTCTGCTACCATTCTGTTTTATCATATGGTGGGTGTGAACATGTGCACGAGTGAACAGATAATACTTACACCCTCAAGTAATTAATGGCTTCCTCTTGGTATGCTTCTTCTCATCTGATGATGTGGACAGAGACGTTCAAGATTCAATCTCTGATTCTATTTTCGTCTACTCCTCGACTACCACCTAGCCTGTTCATCTTCACGTACGTAATCCTGTGTTTCTTGTTGCTGATTTGGCACATTGCCCGATACAAGTAAAAAAAGGCTCTATTTCTTTTTATCTAAAAGAGAGCACATATTTATACATTACACGATGATCCATAATTGCAAGTGGTCATGACCATAAAATATGTTATCATGGCGATCTCTAGCATTTAATCTGAGATTAAATAGAAAAAACTTATGAAAGAGTACAGTGTCACGAAGTAATTCCTGAGCTCATACGTTCCCTCGGTAATTTTACCAACCGTCGGAGAATATTTTCCTACCAAAATTGCTTCTCTATGTTGCAAAATTGAGCTAAAAAATCTTTTTGCTTATTCCAAGTAACAATCAGATCCGAGAAAAATTAAGAAAACCATGAATATGTCTGGAAAATCTGGATGAGTAGGCCACTCTGATTTCAAACATTACATTACCTTGAACTCTTGGTTTCTCAACTACTATAGACACAATCCCATTTTCTGTACTCAATTGAAGTAGAGTTGGTGGTGTCTGTTCCAAAGCTGTTTGTATTACATCCATGCCCGCAGACCCACTAAGATATACCAATGGTACTTGTAGATTTGCATTAACATAAAGGTAATACATTGATTTTGATCGTGCTTCACTTTGTTCCCTTTCGAACAAAACAATATCAATAAGAGTACACACTTTTTTATCGATAAGCAATAATTACACTTACCACCTCAATAGTTCAGAGTTTCGGTTGATTCGAGCTTCATGAATTACTACACTAATATTAGTAGATATGTTTGACAAACTTCCCTTTATCTTTACAATAAACAACAAACAGTACTTTTCAAGTTCTTAACTCACAAGCGAGCCCTGTCTCACCATTTTTTCTATTTCTGAAAAGCTTTCCTTCAATACAGGATTCGACGTTACAATCGATGATAAATTGCTGGTATTTGCCTCTGTAATTGTATAATACAGTTGAATACGTAAAACTGAATAAATATAATAGCAAATTGTATAGCAAATTTCCTTCAAATCATACACGAAGATAATTACTTTGCCACAATCCTGCCGTGGTGGTGGTGCTATGCACGAAAGGAAATTCGCTGGTGTCTTCGCTACTTGTGCTTGTTATTCCTGTTGGCGTTGTCGATATTTCATTTGTGAAATCACCAAATGAAGAAGTGGTGTTGATTACTGTTGTTGTTGTCGATATTTTGTCTGTAGAATCATCGAATGAAAATACGCTACTGATTTCTGTTGACATCGTCGGTATCTTATTTGTAGAACCATCAAATGAAGATGCAGTGCTGATTCCTGTTGATGTCGTCGATATTTTGTCTGTAGAATCATCAAATGAAAATACGCTATTGCTTTCTGTTGACATTGCCGGTATCTTACTTGTAGAACCATCAAACGAAGATGCCGTCTTGATTGCTGTTGATGTTGTCGATATTTCATTTGTGAAATCATCCAACGAAGTTACGATGCTGATTGCTGTTGACGTTGTGGATATTTCATTTATGAAATCATCCAATGAAGTTATGATGCTCATTGCTGTTGACATTGTCGACATTTCATTTGTGAAATCATCCAATGAAGTTATGATGCTGATTGCTATTGGCGTTGTCGATATTTCATTTGTGAAATCACCAAATGAAGATGTGGTGTTGATTACTGTTGATCTTGTCGATATTTTGTCTGTAGAATCATCGAATGAAAATACGCTATTGCTTTCTGTTGACATCGTCGGTATCTTATTTGTAGAACCATCAAATGAAGATGCGGTGCTGATTGCTGTTGATGTTGTTGATATTTCATTTGTGAAATCATCCAACGAAGTTACGATGCTCATTGCTGTTGACGTTGTCGACATTTCATTTGTGAAATCATGCAATGAAGTTATGATGCTGATTGCTGTTGGCGTTGTCGATATTTCATTTGTGAAATCACCAAATGAAGATGTGGTGCTGATTACTGTTGATGTTGTCGATATTTTGTCTGTAGAATCACCCAATGAAAATACGCTACTGATTTCTGTTGACATAGTCGGTGTCTTATTTGTAGAACCATCAAATGAAGATGCGGTGCTGATTGCTGTTGATGTTGTCGA